AGAAAACCAAGGTATCATCTGCAAACAACAAATGGGATATCTCAATCTGATTAGCAACATCTCTGCCAACTGTGAACCCCTTTATGTAACCCAGATCCTCTGCCTTTTTCATTAATCTACTCAATCCGTCCATAACAATAAGGAATAGAAAAGACGACAAAGGATCTCCGTGTCTCAAACTACGCGAACTTGGAAAAAAACCAACAGAAGAGCCATTCACAAGCACAGAGAACATGACGGACAAGATGCAAGATTCAATCCATTTTATCCATCAATCCCCGAACCCCATTCTCCGAAGCAAGTAAAGAAGAAATTTCCAATTCACGTGATCATAAGCTTTCTCGATATCAAGTTTGCATAAGACACCAGGAACTTCACTCTTCAACCTGGAGTCGACACATTCTCCTGCGATAAGAACGGAATCTAAAATCTGTCTACCACCAACAAAAGCATTTTGTGACTCTGAGATAATTCCATCCAAAACATTTCGCATTCTAAGAACAAGGACCTTGGCAATAAGCTTATACATACATCCCACTAGACTGATTGGCCGGAAGTCCTTAATGTCATAGGCGTTGCCCTTCTTAGGAATAAGAGCAATGAAAGATGCATTCAATGATTTCTCAAATGTGCCATGAGAATGAAAATCCTGAAAAGTGCCCGTTACCTCATTACGCACCACCTCCCAGCTCTCCTTAAGAAACCACATAGTGAATCTGTCTGGCCCAGGAGCTTTATCACAATTACAACTGGATAATGCCTTAAGAACTTCCTCTTCAGAGAACGGAACCTCAAGCATATCACTATCCAGCGTAGAAATAGCATCGAAATGCAAACCGTCAAGTTTTGGTCTCCATTCCAAAGTCTCAGTACAGAGCTGCTGATAAAAAGAAACAATTCCCCCACGCACCTCATCTTCTTTCCACAACTCTAAACCATTCACACGAATACGCCCAATGTTATTGTATCTTCTATAAGCATTAGCAAGCCTGTGAAAGAATTTAGTATTGCGGTCACCTTCTTTAAGCCACAAAGCCCGAGATTTCTGACGCCACGAAATCTCCTCCATAGTAGCAATCTCAGCAAAAGTCGCCTGATAAGACACTCTTCTAGAGCATAGAGACTCCGTACCTTGCCCTAGCTCATCAAGACGATCAAGTTCAGCAATATCAGCCAGGACTCTATTTTTCTTCCATTCAAGATTCTCAAACACCTCTTTGTTCCACTTCTTAAGCTCAGATTTGAGAATCTAAAACTTCTTAGCAAGCACATAGCTGGTAGAGCCTGTAAACGTTGCTTCCCCCCACCAAGACTAGACCTTCCCTTGGAAGTCCTCAGCTCTCAACCACATTTTCGAAATGAAATGGTGTGCGTCTAGATCTTATACCTCCACAATCAAGAACTAAGGGCACATGTGACTCTAACCAAAGCTGCCTGAGTGACATCCGGGAACTTCTCCTCCAATCTCCAGAAATCACGAATCTATCAAGCCTCGATAAAGTAACTGGGTCTCTGCCGCTAGACCAAGTGAAAGTTGCCCCTTCCAATGGCAAATCAATAAGAAGGTGACCATCAATAAAGTCAGAGAACTGGGTCATCTCCGAAGACCACCTCCCCCCTATGGATCTCTCAAATGGAGACCGAACAGAATTGAAATCCCCGCCTAAGCACCAAGGCAACGACCACAGTTCCTTAATGTAGCTAAGTTCTTGCCAAAAAAGAGGTCTATCACAATCGATAACGGGTTCATAAACTCCAGAAAAGACCCAACTGAAGTTATCATCTTCCATTTGAAACACGCATAACAAAGAAAATAGCCCTTTCCAGAAATTCGTTCTGGACATCCATCTACGATCCCACATAATAAGAATGCCGCCTGATGTACCAAAGGCATTCAAGGCTTCCCAATCCACGAACCTACTTCCCCAAAGGCTTCTAACTACATCTAAGGCTGCAAATGAACCGAGTTGTTTATGAACAGCTCGGGCTCGGCTCGGGCTCGTTCATTAAGCAAACGAGCCGAGCTAGAGCCTAATTTCTAGGCTCGTTTACTAAACAAGCCGAGCCCGAGCAACGTTGGGCTCGACTCGCATAGGCTCGTGAACATGGGCTCGTTAAGGCTCGTGAACAAGGCTCGTATCAAGCTCGTTATATATATCAGGCCCATTATATATATCAGGCCCATTTGTTTTTATTATACATTTAAAATGCTTAGTCCATATTATTTTTAAAGTTGGCCCAGCTCATATTTTTCATTAATATGGCCCAAGCATTATAACTCACTAGCCCAGAGAAAATCCACCATAGCCCAAATAAGATTTCATCTCACCCATTAAATTAGAACCCATCTCATTCGTTGTTTTGTAAGATATCAAAAACCCTAAAAACTACACTCCACCATTCAAATCTGCCTCTTCTCCACAACAAATCCCATCGTCAGTCTCTCTCTCTCTATCACTCACGAGTCACGACTCACGAATCAACTCCACCGGCTTAGTCCACTGACGACAACCCTTCCATCTACACAACTAACTCTCTGTCTCTCTTTAATCAACTCAATCGCCATAACTCTCTCTCTTAGATCTGAACGCATCGTCTGCCATCGTCATCGTCGGCCGCGGTCCTCTGTCCTCGCCATGGATGTCATCCATTTCCCGCCGTCGTCTGTGCCGCTGTCCCTCCATCCTCATCATCATCGGTGGCCATCCTCTGTCCTCGCCATCAATTAGGTACTGCATCAATTAATTTTTTGGCAAAACTCTACTTTCACTTTAATTCCATGAATCTGGACAACCTCAAAACATTCTTTAGGCAGTTGCAGACAATTTTGTTTAGCTAAACACATCACTTTCATTTCTTTAGCCTTTTCTTCTGCTTCTTCTAAATTTATGGATGCTAATGCTCAATGGCCACAGGTAGCTAAATTAATTTATCTCCAACTTATTTTCCTCTGTGATTTCTTTTTCTACTTAATATATACAAGTTTCTGTGGTTATATAGATACTATTATCATGGGAATTTATAACTTTTTGATGTGTTGTATTTTCATAGAAAATGCATAATGCACTCATGCTCAATTTTGTCCTTTTTTCTTTTTTCGAAATTAACTCTTAATTTGTTCTTGAAACATAAAAGCTTGCACTACTGCACCTTTTTTTTTTTTTTTTTTTTCGCCCTTTTTCTTTTTGCTTATGTGATAATTGATAAAGCAATGGAAAAAGGTATTGTGGCCTGTAGAATACTAATTAATTTTGAATTTTAATTTTATTTTTTTTGTTAGACGAGCCGAGTCCGAGCTTGAGCTTCACGAGCCGAGCCCGAGCCCGAGCTGATCCCATAAACAAACGAGCCGAGCCCGAACAACCTAAAGCTTGGCTCGGCTCGGCTCGGCTCGGCTCATTTGCAGCCCTAACCACATCATCAGAAATAGAAGCTAACTTGGTTTCTTGCAAACAAATAACATGGGCATTCCACTTCCTCAAAGCAACTTTAACCACCCTTCTTTTGTCCGGATCATTTAATCCACGGACATTCCATGTGATAAGTCGTATCTTCATTGAGAACCAAAAATAATCAGTGCCCCTCCTCCCTGCTTCCCACTTCTAGTCCTTCCCCTTTCTTTATTCACCCCATCATTCCCTTAGGCAATTCTAAGTCATTAACAACGTTAGAATCATATGAAGCATTAGGATGTACAGAACTATCATCAACAAAAGAGAATGGAGATTCAATAGACTCTACCTCAGGATTACCTGTTGTCGGGGCAGACTGATCATTTTGCTCAAGAGGTACCTTTTCTCTTCTTAGATATATACCATCTCAAATGGAGACATATGATGACCTTTTGGAGGGTGAGTCATAGAACCGCCTTCTACTTTTTCTTTTTTTCTTTTTTTCAATTTCTTTCATTTGTTACCCCAACCGGCCTTTGCCGTTAATATATAGCTTCACAAAGTGTGACCAAGCCAGATAATTGGTGCCAACAAGTTTATGAGGCATCAACTGGACATTCATCAGATCTTGCTGCGGGTTAGATGCGGTTGGAGGAATCATCAGAGTCTGGGAATCAACTCAGAGGTTTCAATCTTGTCTACCATGAAGTCAAATAAGGATACCTGGTCTGTGGTGGTGGGCAAGGTTGTCGGTAGGTTCTGGGGTGATAGAAAAAAACTGGTGTTTGGGTAATAAGATGTATTTACAGAAAACCCAAAAAGAAAAATAAGATTTTAAAATTCCCTTCTAGAGGAATAGGAATAATTCTCCGTGTTTATTCTTCTCCTTGTCGAGGATTTAAATAGTACACAAATAATTACAAAGAAGGAAATAAATTAGAGACTAAAAATCAACTCTTGTAACTACGCTAATCGGCACATAATCAGCACATGTACAGCTAATTATCTATATATGTCAACACTTTCCACAGTTATAATGGTGGTAGTTATTTATTTAATCAAGAAAAAACTCTTCAATCAATCATTTTTGTAAACAAAATCAACAAATATATTTTGTATGTCTAATTTATTTCACATGTAGACAAAATCACATATCTTTTTCTAATTTATTTTAGTTTTCAAATCTATTTTTTGTTATAACTTTTTGTTTTTCAACTCTCAAATGTTATTATGGTATGATTCTACATTATTTCATAATTGAGTTTATCTTTATTCATTAATTTCATGAAAAGTATAATTACTAAGCCTTTATAATAATGATCGTAACTCAGAATTCATGAATAGATCATTACTTGTGTTAAATGGTCTTCAAAAAATTCAATAAAATCATTAAAATTCAGTAACAATCCATTTTTACATTTTGAGCCTTACATGCGAGGTCGAAAAAAATTCAAGATTGCAAAAACCAATTCTGTCACTTTACACCGATACAAGCAGACTCTATTACACTGCGTCCGCTTCAACGGCCCCAGTCGCAGCACGACTAGAACCATGAGTTTAAACCAAAACTTATACTCAAAGAAAAAATAAAATGAATTTCTAACTCACCTGGTCACTCTCAACCAACTTGCACCAATCCTTTTTGGAGATTAGCTCTCGAGTCTTCTCATATGACAAATTGATACGGTAATTTAAATCACCAAGCCAGATTATTCTCCTGTGAAATAATAAAAATGGTTTGTAATTTCATTTTTGAGGGAAAATGAGATTCTTAAACAACTTGCAAAAGCAAATCGAAATTGATTAACGTTTAATATTTATTTTGAAAAATTAAACTGGAGGTCACGGGTTCGAATCACAGAAATAGCCTCTCCGCATACGAGGGTAAGGCTGCATGCATCTGACCCTCCCCAAACGCCGCAATGGCGAACCTCGTGCACCGGGCTAGCCCTTTTTTAATATTTTAAAAAATTACTGAAATACTTGGATGGGACAACTGCAACAAATGGAAATCATTTTCAAATTTGTGCACTGCTAGTATAATTACAGAATTTTTTTTGGGTAAATTATAATTACAGAAATTTCTTGTATATATAGTCATTACGGATACTTCATAAATTTCCAACTGCCAGTACAAACATGAGGGTAGAGCATAGATAGAAAGTTTTTTATATAATAGAATGCTTTCAGACCGAAGAAATAAATGCATAAAGAGATGGGTGCCACACAAGTAAATAAAATCTATCAAGAAAGAAAAAGTAATGACAGTTTGAGGGGATCAATTTTATCTAAAAATATTGTTCTTGCCAACCATAGAGAATAGAGTCTGAGGCATAACTCCACCTTCAAAAGAATCACATCAATTCCCATATATAATATGTTTACAATGTTTTGTGCATGAAATAACACCGACGCTAAGGTGTGGCAACTTTTGCAGCTCATGCTATCGTTTTCTTACATTTTATTAAAAAGATACCCACAAACCTATTAGATGCACGTGCATGCATAGTTTTGAACATATCCAGACACAAGGTTACCTAAATCCCCTACACATTGCTTCAAAGTGTAAAGTCGTGTCAAAGAAAAGCATCAACAATGAATATAACATTCTTGATAAATTTGGTAATCATATCTCAAAACACTATAAAAGATAAAGCTCAAAAACATAAAAGAATATTAAGAATTGGTCTAGAATGCTTGTTAAAAATCCATTAACTTATTTTCCTTTGTTTCTGCAAGTATTTGTTTAATCAAATTTGAAGTGTTGTAAATTTGGACTAGCAAATTGTCAAAAAAACTACAAGGCTTCTATCAAGTTATTTTACGAAAGGAGAATCTAAGATAAAGTACTATCTATATATTTACTTATGATTTGTCATTTTTCTATGCCGTAAACAGATTTTCTTAATCTCTAAGTACCAGTTACTTAAATAGGTTTAAAAGACTTGCAGTTACCTCACCAAAAGGTAAAAGATTCCTTCAATGAGGGTTTCAATGCATAAACACATATATGCATAGACAATCATGAAGCTTTCATTTTTCAGAACTGCACATAGAAGCTTTCAGGACAATATTTTTTATTTGATGCAAAATGAGGGGTCCCATAGTTGATGCTTTTGATTATCATGAAGCATAATTGCATAAGTCAATGATGACTACAGCCTATCTGATTTAAGCCTTCATTTTTTCCTCTTTTTTTTTTTTTTTTTTTTTTTTTTGGGCTTCATATTTTCTTACTGAAAACGTCCTAAAACCATCAGTTCTCCATTTCTTCAGCATCCTTGCCTTTATCCCATTTTTTTCTTATCCATTTATGAGTAGATAATGATGCAAATACACCATCTTTGAAAGATTGCTCAAACCTACGGAAGTAAAAGTATCATCTTTGTATGTGTAATCTGTGCAAAGATCAAGGCTGCATTGTTAGGAAATTAGTTAGGGAGGATTTTTAGGAACTATCCATAGTTAGATAGTTGACTTTTTAAAATTTTACATAAGTAGTTCCTATATTATAGGAATTATGATCTGTATATATCTTTTCCTTAGATAGAATTTGTAATACACTTCTATATATATAGGCCTGTAAACTAACATATGTGATATGAAAAGAGAATATCAGAATTTATTCTTTTTCACCTTTGTGTTCATGGTATCAGAGCCGCCCTCACTAGGACAGTAAATTTCTCCAATGTTCTGCTGATTATCCGATAAAATCAGCAAACATTCATTGTTAACTCTGGTTTATACCAGAATTATAGAAGACTTATTCTTCTATTACTCTTCATCGTTTCTAGACGATTTCTTTGGTTAAATCCGCGATGTCTGGAATCTCCACTAAGGAAGTTTCGGTCGATTCTTTAAATGCTTGGAAATCCCAGATCACTTCATCCGGTTCAGGTGACAACCCAATCCTCCAAATTACCACTCATCGGCTGAATGGACAGAATTTTTTATGGTGGTCTCAATCAGTAAAGTTGTTCCAAGATTGGTTATTTAACTGGTGCAAGGCAGGCCCCAAATGACGATGATCCAACATATGCCGTTTGGGATGCAGAAAATTCCATGATTATGTCATGGCTAGTGAACTCCATGGAAACGGAGATAGGCCAGACATTTATGTATCTCTCCACTGCCAAAGACTTATGGGATCCAGTGAGTGAGACATACTCAAACTTGGGCAATTCTGCACAAGTCTATAAAATTAAAACAAGGATCCTAGAAACAAGACAAAGAGATCAAATTGTTACAAAGTATTACAACATATTACAAGGTTTGGAGCAAGAACTTGACCTCTTTTATGATTTTGAATGGAAGTGTGCATGTGATAGTGCCCAGTTCAAGAAAACAGTTGAGAAGGACCGTGTATTTGAATTTTTGGCTGGATTCAATGCCCAGTTAGAAGAAGTGATAGGACGTATTCTAGGCAAAGAGCCACAGCCTACCACTAGAGAAGTCTTCTCGGAAGTTAGGAGGGAAGAAAGCCGCAGGTTGGTGATGATGGGAAAGAAATACTCTAGCACTATAGTGAAAACTCTGCACTCAATGTAACAGCCACTGAAATGCCAGCAGCTGCAGTTAATCCAAAACCAACAAATCACCCTCAGCGGAAGATTGAAGAGACAACCAAGATCTGGTGTGATTTCTGTAACAAACCAAGGCACACACGAGAAACATGCTGGAAATTACATGGAAAGCCAGCAAATTGGAAGGTAGGCAGATTTGGAGACAAGAATGGGCGTGGAATGCAGGCTACTACTGAAACCGAGACATCTCCATTCAGTAAGGAGCAGCTTGATCATCTCTCCAAACTGCTGAACCAAACTCAGGTTTCAAGTTTCTCCTTAGGTTCTCTGGCCCAAAAAGGTAGCTCTTTAAGTGCTCTTACTAGTTCTTTAAATCTGGCACCTTGGATCATTGATTCTGGTGCATCTGATCATATGACTAGTGTATCACATTTGTTTAGTACATATTTTCCAAGTTCTGGTCACTTAAAAATTTGTATTGCTGATGGTAGTTGGTCTCCAGTTGCAGGAAAAGGTTCTATACGTGTCTCAGAAAACCTTGTTTTAAAATCTGTCCTCCATGTGCCTAACATTTCATGCAATCTTTTATAAGTTAGTAAACTCACCAAGGATTCTAACTGTGTTGTCAAATTTCTTGATTCTCAATGTGAATTTCAGGACCTATATTCGGGGAAGATGATTGGCAGTGCTAGGATGGTTGATGGACTCTATTATTTTGATAATGAAATCTTCAAGAGTGGACAAGCTCAAGCTACAAGTAGTAGTGATATTTATATTTTTGTTAAAAGTCAAATAATGTCGTGGCACTATAGGTTAGGCCATCCCAGTTTCTCTAACTTAAAACATTTGTTTCCATCCCCGTTCAAAATTTTAAATCCTTTGTTATTTCAATGTGAATCTTGTCAATTATCAAAGCATCATCATGTTTCTTATCCTTCTCATTTATATCAAGCATCCAAACCATTTTATTTGATTCATAGTGATGTGGGGGAGGCCTACTGGAACTAGGTGGTTCATCACTTTCATTGATGATCATACTAGAGTGTGTTTGGTATATCTTTTGAGAGAAAAATCTGAGGCTGCGAGAGTGTTTAAAAGAGTTCTATGCCATGATTGAAGACCAGTTTCAAACCCGGATTCAAGTATTTAGAACCGACAATGGAAAAGAATTCTTTAACTCTATTCTTGGTGATTTTTTGAAAGAAAAGGGTATTTTCCATCAGTCCACTTGCTTTGATACCCCACAGCAAAACGAGACAGCTGAGAGAAAAAACCGCCATTTTCTTGAGGTCGCTAGGGCAATATTGTTCACTATGGGGGTTCCTAAATATCTATGGGATGAGGCTGTTCTTACAGCTTCATACTTGATCAACAGAATGCCAACTAGGGTGTTGAAATTTGAGACGCCCCTAAACAGCTTGCTGTCAGTTTTTCCCCATATTAGGATCTTCACCTCATTACCTCTTAAAGTGTTTGAATGCACTGCTTTTGTACATGTTCATACATGGGACCATTCAAAACTTGATCCTAGGGCTGAAAAGTGTGTGTTCGTTGGGTACTCTCCTAAAACAGAAAAGGTATAAATGTTATACCCTCACCTCTAAAAAATTCTTTGTGAGTATGGATGTGACCTTTTTTGAGACTCAACCTATTTCACCAAAAATACTCTTCAGGGGGAGAGTAATGAGAGGGAAGACCATTTTTGGGAAGTGTTGGGCTCTTTACCATTGCCAAGTGTTTCACCAAACTCTACCTTACCTATTGAACCCACTATTTCAACCTCTCCGAAGCCTATTGAGCCAAACATTATAGACTACACTTCGGGGGGAGAACCACAAATCCAACCTCAATCTGAGCTCCGTGTTTACTCTCGAAGAAGGAAGGATCAAAATAAAGAGCACCAACCTACTAAATGCCAAGAAAATTCTCCGGATAAAGGCAACTTGAATGAAACAGGTATTTCTGTCTCTAATCCATCTTTAATTCCTGAAACCAGAATGAAGAGAACCTTTCTCATGACCTTGATATTCCTATTGTACTTAGAAAGGGTACTCGCTCTTGTACCATGCATCCTATTGCTAAAAATGTGTCCTACCACAGCTTGTCTCCAAATTATAGAGCTTTTACCACTAATCTCTCTAGTGTTTCAATTCCTAGAACTATACAGGAGGCCTTGAATCATAATGAGTGGAAGGCAGCAAGTGCAGAAAAAGTGGTGTACCGAGAGCAATTCCAAAGGCTGGTTGGAAGACTCATTTATCTTTCACACACTCGGCCAGATGTTGCCTTTGCAGTGAGTGTAGTGAGTCAATTTATGCACCCACCAGGAGAAGAACACTTTGAGGCAGTCTACCGGATTCTCAAATACCTAAAGGGATCACCTGGAAGAGATTTGTTGTTTGAAAACCACGGCCATCTAATGATTGAAGCCTATACCGATGCTGATTGTGCAGGTAGTGTGACGGATAGAAGGTCTACTTCAGGTTACTGTACTTATGTTGGTGGCAACTTGGTTACTTGGAGGAGCAAGAAGCAAACCGTTGTAGCAAGGAGTAGTGCAGAAGCTGAGTTCAAAGCAGTTGCTCATGGAATTTGTGAACTTTTGTGGCTGAAAAGATTAATTGAAGATCTTAAAATCTCAAGTCCGATGCCTATAATGCTTTACTGTGATAATAAAGCTACAATCAACATAGCTCACAATCCTGTCCAACATGATAGGACTAAGCATGTGGAAGTTGATCGACATTTTATTAAGGAGAAATTGGAAGGAGGAGTGATATGTACGCCCTATATTCCTACAGGAGAACAGGTAGCAGATATCCTCACTAAAGGATTACTGAAGGGGAAATTTGACAATCTTACATGCAAGCTGGGAATGCAAGATATTTTTCGAGCCAGCTTGAGGGCGAGTGTGGAAAGATATAGGCTAAATTGTTAGGAAATTAGTTAGGGAGGATTTTTAGGAACTATCCATAGTTAGATAGTTGACTTTTTTTAATTTTACATAAGTAGTTCCTATATTATAGGAATTATGATCTGTATATATCTTTTCCTTAGATAGAAATTGTAATACAATTCTATATATATAGGCCTGTAAACTAACATATGTGATATGAAAAGAGAATATCAGAATTTATTCTTTTTCACCTTTGTGTTCATAATCACCTGTGAAGGAATTTTTCCAAAGGAAAGGCTCCTTAGTCCTTACACGATATATAAATTCATAACAATTTAACTGCCACTACAGCATAGTTGATCCAGTGAAAAGAAATGAGCCAGCCAAGTATCAGAAACGACACCAAATTTAGTGACTTCTTGAAAAAAATTTAACAATGTATTTACGCCACTTAAGAATTTAAAATAAGAACTGCCAAGCAAATAACAAAAGTTCCACATATGCATATAAGTTTGAAAAAATGGTAAGGGAGTAAGTGAGGAGAGCTAATGCTAGAAGTGGATAAATCCATTTAAAAACCAATTAACAATGTTCACAGTAGATGCCCAGTACTCACTCATGGTCATGGATGTGTTTGGGAAGTCCAATACTGGAAAGTGAATTAAAACGAGTTCTTCGGTGTATTTCGTGCACATCAGCGTTTCGTTTAAGCAAATCTCCCTCTTTTTCACCAGAAGTCAGGTGAGTACATACAAAACAAAAGAGGGTTTGATATATTGACATGCTGACAGATATTGATCCCTGGAAGATTGAAGGATAGTCAATAAATTTAAAGAATTATAGCAAGATACATGAAGTGCTTAATGCAATTCTAGAATGAAGCCAAAGTAAAGCAAGTAAATTCATTGTAAATAAATTCTATCAACAAGCCAAAAATCAAGTTAGGTCAATAAGAATTTGGTAGAGCAAAACACATTCATTGATTTTGTTTAATTTTAGTTAGTTAAAACAAATTTAAAAGTGAGTTAAGTATAAATTGTCTCCCGGTTGAAGATAAAGTTACAACAAAGGACAAATTGGTTATCTTCTACGATGTGGGTATAAAGATAACTCACCAAAAAAGGTACATGTTGATTCAGGGAAAAAAAATACTAGGTACATAAATTGCATAGATATGGCATCATAGTTTAAAAGTTTTCTAAACTGACATTGATTCCAAATATGCATGTGTTTTTAAATATGGAAAAGTGTTCTGCAATTTTTCATAAGAATCTGAACTACAGAATTCTCGATCGATCGAGCTTTCTATCAAGACTCACTAGAGTTGCATCGATTGATTGACACATCTCTCAATCCACTTAGTCGATACTGCAGTATTCTAAAAGCACTTAAACTATGTTTTTTATTCTAATAGAAACTCAATTCTTAATTGCTTATGAAGACTTATCATCTTGAAATACCAGGAGAGATGCAAAGAATTGTTTTAATTGAGAAATCACAAGTGTTTAATCTCTTTAAACATATCATTCACACAAATCAATGAGCGACTTTTTGTGAGTTGAGTGCATCTTTGCTTTCAACATTCATTATATAAATTAGTATATTGATGAGCTGTTGTTTTATGTGTTGATGCATCCACTGCTGCACTGATCAAACTTATTCAACATATCCAAGCAATCTACACCAGATTGACAACTAGAAGACTAGTAGCTGAGACTAATAACTAGAGAAGCAGGTTTTTTAGGAGCAAATATTGTAGATAAATCAGAAGGACAACCTAGAGATCTTTGTAGGACTGAAGATTTTGTGTTCTACTGTGTCCAGAGGTAACTAAAGGTCCGGGGGTACTAAACTGTAACCTAGGGCGTATCTCTTTCTTGATAGTGGATTGGTTTGCCTGGCCCAAGTCCCGTAGTAGTTTTATTCTCACGTAAAAATCTGGTATCGTTGTCCATTTATAATGCTTTATTGCTTTATTTTTATATGTTAGCATGCGCAGCTAATCTTGCATTATATCACTTTATTCAGTTAAAACCCAAGGAAAAATCAGATTTATATAAAAGAAATTAATTTATTTTACATTACCTATTCACTCCCTCTACGTCTAGATCCGTGAACCTTGTGTGGCTCTCTATAAGAGCCTCGGGTTCCATTACCAAAGTTTCATGAACGTTAAATAAAATACATATATATATATATGCAACACAGAGCCAGCACCCAAAGACACGATTTTGAGTAACCCAGCCCCTTGATGCACCCAGTATCATAGCTCTTTAATCTCGGCACTCCACCAAACAAATATGTCACTGAAAGCTTCCTAGAAAAGAGTCACAAATGATGCTGTTGCACATAAATCTTAGTAGTTAGAGTTTTACTAGGAGTCTTCTCTAAGAATATTATTGTATTTTCTTAAGTTTCAATCTTTTTAGGGTATTTAATATTAAAATTTAGGTCTTAAATTATTACCATGTTGGATAATGTTAATTCTAGAAGATATTTATGTGCTATTAGGGTTTTGCAGGGCCTATAAATAGGCATGTTAAGAGAGAAAGGACTTAGGCATTGAAAAAGAACAACATGGATGAATATTGTGAAAGGTTTGAGCTCCCTCCACCCCCTCTCCCCCTTCCTGTCGTTAATCTCTCTATCTATATCTCCTCTCGTATTCAAGAGACATGGAAGTTGTTATTGTGTCCTTCCCCACTTCCCTTCTATTCTCTCTCCTCTCTTTCTCTCAGGTAGTCATTGTTGTCAGGGGCTTATTTGTTATTACTTATACAATGTTGGGGCCTATGTGTAATTTCTGAAACTTATTATTATAAATATAACGTGGTGGAAGGATGAAAGTATTCTTTCATTCTCTCTCTCTTTCCCCATCTCTCTCTCTTTTTCTCTCATCCTCTTTCTCCTCTTTTTCTTCTTCTTATACTTAACTCTTTGATTGTCGTGAATATAGGCTGTTTACAGCCTGTAATTAATTAGGAAAGTTGACTATTCTGCTACATGTAATCTGCTAGCTTGATTATAGGAATATTCTTATGCATAAAATCTGCTAGCTTGATTATAGGATTTTGATTAGCTTAATTTCTGGTAATTGGCTAAATTAATGTACTGATTGTATGTCTTGGGTTCCTATATAAACCCACATGCACTCACATCTAAGAGATATACAAGAATTCTTCTCTTCTATTTTCTTGCTCTAATTTACAACATGGTATCAGAGCAAAAATGCTCCTGAGACCCAACTCCCGTCTTCCTTTTCTTCACCCAATCTCCCCCATTTCTCTCTATTGTTCTCACATCAAAAGTCTGGTGCCTTCTAAGAATTCTAGTTTGTTATTTTATTTTTATTTTTTATTTTTTATTTTTACTGCCAGAGTTCTATTTAGTTTTATGTTTTCTTATGTAAACAGTTTAATATCTATTATTTGTTTTATTATGTAAAAAAAATAAAAAAGGAAAAAGATAAAAGGTTACAGCTTCATCGACTCTATGGCATAGCATAGCCTTGCTTGGAAAGAATCAGCTTGCTAATCTCCTTGCTTGGATCCTATTCTTACTTGGATCTCATCCCGTTCTTGCTCGGTCTCCATTGGTGACAAAGCAGATGTTAAAGATTATATGTTCTATGGTTCCATGACCAATATCAAACTCAAGGGTCCCAATTACCTTCAATGGGCCCGAGTTGTCCAAGCTGCTTTGAAAGCTCGAGGGAAGTTCTCTTATCTTAAGTCAACCAAACCTACTGATGCCAAATTGGTTGATGCTTGGGAACAAGAAGATGCCCAAATTATGACTTGGCTATGGAACAGTATGGAACCCGAGGTCTTCAACAATGTATCTTTTCTTGAAACCTCTAACGAGATATGGGATGCCCTGAAGGAGATGTATTCGTATGAGCAAAACATCTCTCGGATTCAGCTCTATGAGGATCTTTTTCCACTATACAAGGAGATCGCTCTATTGAAGATTACTACTCTACCTTGAAAGGTATGTGGGAGGAACTGAATGTGTATCAGCCAGCCATTGACTACTGATAATGAGACTCAAAAATGATACAGGGAAGAATTTCGCGTGACAAAATTTCTTTCTGGACTTTGACCCGAATTTGCTCCTGTTAGTTCTCAGATTCTCGCTGGTAAACTTTGCCATCTGCCAGTGAGGCCTATAATCGTGTTCGGCCGGGCCAGCCTATCTGCTCCAGAGAAAGCCGATCGCTCTGCTCTTGCAGCTCCCATTGGGCACTCTGATAATTCCCATAATGGTCGTGGGGGACGTGTTTCGAATAAAGGTCGAAATTTTCAAGGTGATCGTAGTGGCCTCAAGAAATGTACTCATTGTAATCGCACCAACCATACTGTTGACAAATGTTGGAAACTCCATGGCAAGCCCACATGGGCTAATCATGGTACTGTTGAGGAGGAGATCTCCACTCTGCTTATGAAGAGTCTGTAGCCCTTTCTAAAGCAGAGTATGACTCACTGATGGCGTGCACTCATGTTTCATCTACCTCAACCGCCTCCTTGAGTGCTTCAGGTAACACTTGCCTCCATTCCTCATCCAATTAGCCATGGATTATTAATTCTGGAGCCTCTAATCATACACGACTAGTAATCCCTCTGTACTTTCTAATCTTTCAAGTACTCCCTCTCCTTCCTTTGTTACAATTGCTAATGGTTCTAAATCTCCGGTTCAAGGGGTTGGCACAGTTACTACCTCTCGTCTAACTTTCTCTTTTGTCTTATACATACCTCAATTTCCTTTTAATCTATTATATGTTCATAGTATTACCTCTGCTTTAAATTGTTACGTCACCGTTTATCCTTCTCATTGTGTTTTTCAGGATCTAAAGACGAAGAGGACGATTGGTGGGGGATATGAAAAGGATGGAGTAGAAATATAATATAGAAGAAAAATTATGTAAAGGTTCGAATGAGATAAATCACTCATTCATAGCTCTGGTATTTATAGATAAAAAAAAAAAGAGCATATGCTCAAATTACAAGAAAGTAAATCTATTTCATATCACAACACATTCTATGGCATATTCTATGCCATGATTCGTGGCTATCAAATCTTTGTTAATATGGTAAGTCATTCCATAAATCGTAGCTATCATATCTGCTAACACTCCCCCTCAAGTTGGTGCGTGGATATCTGAGACGCCCAACTTGGACAATGCATCTTCAAACACAGTCTTGCTAGCACCCTTCTTCAGAATCTACAAGTTGCAGAGTGTAAATCTGACTAGCGATAATTTCCTTTTAGATAAAGTGCCGATCAACAAATCAAAAAATGTCTCCTCAAACCAAAAACAATTAACAATGTCTCCTCAGACCATAAACAACCAATCATGTCTCCTCAGACCGTAAACAACAAACAATGTCTCCTCAGACCATTTCCCTTAAACACATGTTTAAAACATGTAGATGGAAGAATCAACAATGTCTCCTCAAACCATCCCCCTTCATACATATGTTTAAACAATGTAGATAAAGAATCAAAACTGTCTCCTCAGATCACAAAAAAAAACAACTGTCTCCTCAGACCATTTCTGAATAGGTGGTGCCAAACTCACAAAGCCCTCATTGAGGTTGGACCACCCTGCCTACCCAACATCTCTCGGATAGGCGATGTCACCTTAGACCATTCCCGAATAGGTGGTGTCAAACTCGTAATGCCCTCATTGCAATCTGACCACCCTGGCTCTGATACCAAGTAGAAATATAATATAGAAGAAAAATGAGAGAATTATGTAAAGGTTCGAATGAGATAAATCACTCATTCATAACTCTAGTATT